GATAGAACAAAGACTTAACAATGACTTGTGTTATGTGCAGATGACAACCTTGCTTGCTGAAAGTGAGGAAGCCTTGAAATGCTTGCTACAGAAGATCAAAGACTACAGGCTTCAATGTGGATTACATCTCAACAGCAAAAAAAAACAAAAACCAATCAATGGGCTGATAGGCAACACCATGATAGATGGAGAAAAGAATGAAATTGTCAATGACTTCATTTTAGTTGGGGCCATAATCAATATCCTTGGCACCAGCAGTCAAGAAATCAAGATATATTGTGTTGGGAAAGTCTGCTTCAGGGACCTCTCTTAAGTACTGGGGAGCAACGATATCAGTTTGAAGGCTAAGTGCGCTTGATTCAAGACATCATGGTCTTTTCAATCACTTGCTATGGGTCTGAGAACTGAACAATAAAGAGAGATGACAGGAAAAAACTGATGCCTTTGAGCTGTGGTGTACTGAATATTCCAAGGACTGCAAAAATAACAAACAGACATGTCTTAGAGAAGGTGTCGCCAGAATGCTCATTAGAAATAAAGTAGCTTTGTCTCACATACTTTGAGCATATTTCTAGAAAGAGGTATTCCTTGGAAAGGGGCATCAAGCTAAGAAAGGTGGAAAGAGAGGAAGCCTCTCCCTGAGATGGAATGACACGGTGACTGCAGCAATGGGCTCACACATGTCGCAGATGATGAGAATGGTGCAGGACAGGAAAGGGTTCAGATCTGCTGTTCATTGGGTCGCTATGAGTGGAACTTAACTCGAATGCATGTAATAACTGTACACAGAACAGCTGTGTTTATACCATTAATAGACCGTAGTCTATGCAGTACAAGAGCAAAACTAGTCTTACCTTTTGCATCCATCTTAAATATACTTAATAGGGCGTTATTCACCAAGTTAAATTCTGCAGAGTCATCTGAGGAAGAAAAAAAGTGCCATAATAAATTGACATGCCGTTTGTCTCATTTTCAAAGATTCAACACAGTTTCTTAAAAGATTAGGTTGAGAGTTAAGTGCCTTAACTAAGGGAATTTTTAAATTATCAGAAAACACACCTATTTTTTTAAGAACAGAAAAGCTTTATGTGAAAATGGTATGGTTAAGAAACAACACCAGGGGGAGGGAGGGAATTGTGACTCATCAATCCTTCCCCAAAAGATATAATCAGGTCTTTATAAAGAAAATTTAAACCACAGCAATACACACCTAGGAAATACAGAATTGAGAAGTCTAGTCAGACTAGTGAACAGACAAAATAATTTTAATCTTATCAGAGGGAGGCCCTTTAGCACTACTTCCTATCAAGCTAAGATACAGAGTATTTCAGAAAAGTTAGATCAAAGATTATAGTAATAAAATCTCTTACCTGTCTGCAGAAGCTGGGTTAGTATGTCTGCTACTCGGGGAAGATTTTCTCCAGTGGCAAACTGAGGCAGTTCCTTAATTGCTTGGCGTCGAATCTGGACATGATTTCAAATAAATTTACCCAAATTATTAGCTTAATTTTAAATAAAAACAACAAACTCAACTTTCTAAGATAATTAAGGCTATAGAGAAACCATACTTAAGAGCATATATAAGTTACAAAAGTAAAAAAAAATTATTCTTTCTAGCAGTGATGTTTAAGAAAGAATTTGTTCTGATTTAATATTTAAGTATCACAGGCTAAGGGAGCTCTGGTGGCCTAGTGGTAAGAAGCTGCACTGCAATCCCAGAGGTATGTGGAGAAGGAGGGCAATCTCCTCCTGTACCAGTCAGATCCGATTTGATGGTACACACAAAAATAATAATTAAAAAAACCACCACCAACAACAACACAAAACCCAAAAAACCAATATCACAGAATAAGCAAAAACAAATGTGAAGGAAAGGTTAAGTTTATAATATGGAACTCAAGCAAACAGATTCGAAATGATAAACAATAGCAAATATAATTGTTGGCCTTTTTCTGATGTTGGTTCTATCACACTGTGTAACGATCAGAAAAGATGTGAATTATACCTGCTCTTTACGATGAATAACAGGTAAGTAAAAGTAAGCATTCCCCACTCCCCTATAGCTAAAAGGTGGGAAAAGAGCTAACAAAGTTTTGCAAATGTGGAATATAAGACTGAGTATGACACTGTGCCAGACTGTACAGAGCAATTTACTCAGCACTGATGTCCCTGGCAAGCTAACTATATTAGCTACCCAGATAATGGCCTGGAAATTTTAAAGAAACATTTGAGCTTTGTGCAGTGGCAATATCGTAGCCAGTGAGGCTTATTTGAGGTGCAATTATTGCTAATTAAAAAAACCTATGAAAGTTTATTAATCCCAAACTTACCGATACATCTTCATCCTCACAGAGGTCTAACTGTGCATTGATAGCTGAATCAGCCAATTCGGGAAAATGCTTGAAGAATTTTGGAATAAATTGAGCTGCTAATCTTTTCTCCTTAGTACCACCTTTCACACCATCCAGTATTACTTGATAGGAATCTTTATGCTACAACGAAGAATGAAGGAGGACAGAAATCTTGGTCAGCAACACAACGTAACATAATAAAGAACTGTCAAAGGACAATCAAAGCTCCAGGGCAGAAACTTTTGGTAGAGAACTTGTTTGAATCTACAATAAAATTTAGAGGTCAAAATATACTGCTGATTTTGGAGGTCTATGGCTTAAATTGCACATTTACCTCCTTACTCTTTCTTTGATTCATCTTCAGATGAGTTGGGAAGGGATGAAAGATGAGTAATTTGAATTGGAAAAGCAAAGCGGTTAGCTAATATACCAATACTAGCGTCATTCAATTGATTACTCAGGTGGTATATAAAATGCTTAACAAACTGCAATCACTAACACAGAATCTCAAAGAACTATGCTGTATTTACTTGAATGTAAATGTTTCCAATCAGAACCTTGATGATGATGGAAAAGTGGAGCTTTATTTTGTACCAAAGTTTAAGGTATGAAAGAGTAATAATTCTTTGCCTACAAATTTTCTATCAAATGAAATTCTAATGTCACATAATGACTTTGTGTAAAAACAATACATTTACAACTCATTACAGTTTTTCATTAAAAACAAAACAAAATCCAACTTTGGTCTTTCTCAGAGATTTTTACTATAGAAAGTGAACGAGTTCTAATATTCCTTCTATAAGAAAGCTAACCAAAAACTCTTCAAGGCCATCAAGTCAACTCCAACTAATAGTGGCCCTCTGTCAGATTTCCCTAGGTGGCTTATTGGTAAGGAATTGTACTTGGATGCAGTTCAAATCCACCAGCTGCTAAATAAGCAAACTCCTCCTGTGCAATTTACTGCCTCTGAAAACTCGCTGGAGGGCCACCTATGGGTCGGTTTGTGTACATAACACAAACATTAGACGGTAAATCATACAGGAAGAGAATGCCTATCTTTCTCTCTCAAAGCAAGTAGTGACTCTGAATTCACCATTTAGGTTAGAACGCAACACATAATTCACTATGCCCATTAAAGTGTCTCACCTTACTTAGCTGCCTTTCAAACCTGTCCTTCAATTAAACTACAATGATTCAACTGGTAGATAAAAATATAGTGATACTAACAAATATTCTGTTTAGACATGTGGATAAAACTTTAACTGAGACATATCAAATTCTTACACTGGATAATATACTCTGCCCAAGATACTTTCTCAGTATTTTAGACGTCTCAACTTCTTAGGGAGCTCTGGTGGCATAGTGACAAGAAGCTGCGTTGCAATCCCGAAGACACACAGTTCAAGACTACCAGCTGCTCCGCAGGAAAAGGATGGGCAATCTTCTCCCATGCAATTAACTGCCTTTGAAAACCTGCCAGAGGGTCTGTTTTGAGTTCTGACCCTTCAGTGCCCATTCCTAGATCAGTTCTGGTAAAGGTTACAATTGAGAGAGTGTCAGGACTGTGGTTGTAATCACCTCCTAGGCAAGTGACAGATCAACACCTGTGGCATTAGCTTAAGAGTTGGCTTTCCTCGCCATTCATGTTAGCCTGCTCTGGTCTCCAGCTCCCTTAACTGCAGATACATGGTCTTGAAAATCAACAGCTGTGGGACTAGGATTAAAAGAAAATGTGTTTCCAATGCTAAACAGCAAGGGAGACTTGAGCAAAACTGTGGGGGCAGTGGTGGAGAGACTGACACTGCTGTGAAGAAACTGTGGCAAGGTGCAACCAGAGAAGCCCTGAAATAAAGGCCACAGTTAAAGAAAGAAAGACTGATTGCTGAATTGAAACCAGAGCCTGGACTAATTGTGCCTGGGGACTGGTGATCTAAAACCTAGACTTGCACTGGGTCCCTGACTTCCTTCCCTAATAAACTGCACTCTCTGTATCACAGTCTGTGAGTCAATAATGAATACAAGAACCTCTGCTGCAAGTGTAGCTCGAGAGGCACCATGGGGGCGGGCTAGCAGCTCTTTAGCGGCTTTCTGCCTCAGGCCCTTTCAGAGCTCACAGCTCTGTGACTCCATGTCCTACTTTCTGCTCCCTAGACAGTAACAATTTTATGTACTACAATCTTCTAAGGCATCCTTTCAACCAAAAATTTGGGCAACAGTTCAAATTTGAGCAGAAGCAATCCAGCTTGAACATTTTTTTTGGGGGGGAGGGCGACCCAACAAGACATTTTTTACCTGTTCACATGTTTTTAACATTATTTGAATCTATTATAATCTCCTTTATGATGCCTTTGAGAAGAGGCCATCCGTGTTTTTAAATTTCAGTGTGGTCACAAAGTCCAAAGTAAAGCTTGTCTTATTTATTAAATGGAAAAAAAAATCAGTTTCATAATTAATTCTTTTCAGTCATGAAAAATACTACATAAGGTTAATAAACATAATATAAATGATTAAGTAGGATGCAAAATTATTTAGGCACAATTACTAAGTGCCATTAAGTTAATTCTGACTTCTAAGGACCCTGAAGGGTATAGCAGACAAGATAAAAAAGGTTTCAGAGAGTTTCAATCTTTTTGAGAGCAAACTTGCCTCATTTTTTCTCTCAGAGAAACTGCTGGCTTAAAAACACTGACCTTTTAGTTTCCGGCCCAATACTTAGCCCACTATGTCACCCTGGATACAGATCTTAATTAAGTCCATAAAAACTCTCTCTCATTGTGATCAAACTGGAACTGACTCATACCTGACCCTCCAGCAGGTTTTCAGAGACAATAAATTGTAAGAGACTGCTCATCTTTCTCCCTCAGAGCAACTGGTGTATTTGAACCACAGGCCTTTTGGGTTGTTAGTGCTACTCTTTGCCATGAGGCTGATTACATTTTAATTCTATAAACATGTTATCTTTGCTTCAAAAGACATTAAAGGTCTTTTGCAGCAGATGTACCTATTTGTAATACATCAACTGATTTCTTAACTGCTGCTTCCATAGACATTAGTTGTGGGTTTTCTGCTTCCATGCACATTACTATGAATGCTCTCTGCTTATCATCATATTAATACTTGGTACAGAACTTTGTTTTCTGTAAACTGAGGTACTAGGAGATTAAGAGATTAGTAGATAATGAAAGGCTAAACTGTTTACGGTCCTTTAACCTGTTTAGTTATTTTTAAGAAATAAATTCCATCAACAAATTAAAGGCTAACTCTGATATACTAATCAGAACACGGACTCCTAAATAAAAAGTATTTCTGCAAATAAGGTTGGCATCCTCATGAAATGCAGGTACAAAAATCAGACTTTAGAAGTTATTTAAGTACATCATAGAGACAAGAATCATTTAATAAAGATCCCCAAGCCAAAAAAAAACAGCATCATATTATATTGCATACTTTTTAGCACAAAACTGGAGGGGAAAAAAGATGACTTTGCATTCCTGTGGTTTGCCTCCAAGTGTCTAGACAGACTTCATAACCAGACTTGAATTGTGAAAGTTTTCTGGCCTTGTTTTACTTCATTTTTTAGAGGGTAGCACAAACCTAATATTATTTGACTCAATCTCATAACTTTATTTCTGAAAAAATGCTTTGTACTATTTTAGTAAATGTTTGCTTATAAACCTCTCTTCTCCAAGAGGGCGAAAAATCGGAAATCAGTAAAAAAGAATGAATTATCACCATTTACTGATGCATTCATTTAGTAGAGATTTCACAATTTAAGTTGGATGTACAACTACTATTTCTCAGATGAGAAAACCAAGGCTCAGAAGTGGCATGACTGGTGCACTCAGTTAAGTAGAAGACGCAGGACCAGAACACTATGCCACCAGGTCTCCTACAAGTCCAAGTTACTTCCTATGCATATGCAAGTTGGACAATAAGAGGGACATAATGGATGCTTTGGACTTGCAATGTTGGTGAAGAGTACTGAATATACTTCCAGTGGTCACAATGACTCAATGACAGTAAGACTGCAATCACAAGAATCTATTTCAAATAGAGCAGTGTTTGTCTTTTCTAACACAACTGTGTACTCTATACTCCAAAAAGATGGACCGACAGTGATTATAACGGGGCTCAAGTATAGCAGAGATGGTGATGATAGCACAGGATCAGATCCACTGTTTATAGGGTTGCTGTGAGGTATAGCTGATGTCATGGCAAATAACTGGAGGTGCAGTGTTTACAGCACTCAGCATGAGCAATGGAAGGTCTAGTTTTTCATCTAAATTGATGTGCAACAAAGTAAAATTCAGGTAGAACTTGCAATAATTCTTCTAAAAACTTCCAAAACAGAATCTCTTCCCCACCTGTTATTTCTACAAACAATAACAAAATTAAACTATGAATGACTGGCATTTCCCCATCTTGTCCGCCCAAACTCAAAGTTCACTCCCTGTGGAGTGGGTTCTGATTCAGTGACCTTCCGCTGGGTTTCTGAGGCTGCACATCTCAGAACAAAGCTGCCTATTTGGGCAACTCCCCTCCCCCCCCATGATTTACAACCTCTGAAAAATCTGCTCAAAGGGTTAGCTATCTGTTGACTTGATGAAGAGGAACTTTGGGTTTCTCTGTCTCCTGAGGAGTCGCTGAATAGGAACCACAGGAAAGTAGAGAACTTTTGGTTCACAAAACAAGCTACCACAGCCCCCATCTTGCCTAAAATCCGCATTCACTGCTGCTGAGTAGGTAAACTCACAGCTGACCCTTCCTTCAAGGGGTTTCTAAGACTGTAAATTCCATGGAAGGAACATGTGCATCTTTCTTCCAACCAAAGCCTCCGGTGTATTCAGACCTCCTCTGAGTCTGAATCCATTAGGGACTACCCTACCAGAGAGATCACTTCTCTCTCACAATTGATTCCAACCCACCAGGGCTTTGAACTGGTTCACCCACCCCCAACTGTAAATCTGAATACATTATAAAAAGACTCCAAGGTGATTCTTATGTGTTGATACACTTATGCGCAAATCAATTCTTCTGTACTGAATCACCTCCTTTGATCATATCAAATTACTTGACAACATCAAGAATCAAAGTCACTCAAGACAGTTGTTTTCCCTATCACAGATCTCTCTCTCTGAGCTGTGGCTTCTGGCTGTGTTCCTAGAACTGATCCCCCAGCACACTTTCAGAGGCAGCAAATCACATGGGAGGAGATTGGTCACCTTTCTCCAGACGAGCAGATTTTATTTCAACTGCTAAACTTTACATCAGTAGCACAATTCCTTACCACTAGGTCACCTAAGCTCACTTCAGAGCCGCTAATGGACTCATATTATCAATCTCTGGGTTAGCAACCCAATACATTAAGGCTTAAGTCAAAGGGCTCCTTTCATTGACAATGGCATCGCTCATGTATCATGGATAATAGCAAAATTCCCTACTGAAAATGGAAATATGTATGGAAGGAAATTTTTACATTTGATATTTTGAATTTCAATCAAGTTAAATAAGACTGCAATAATGAGAAAAAAAAGTTAAGCTCAGAAAGGCTCTTCTTGAATTACACAAGTCCATTAAAAGGGAATGCTTAACTACCACCAGCAGCTTTTGCTAAAGTCACTGACTCTCAGATCTCTCACTTCCTCCTCTCAGGAATGAGGAAGCAGAAAAATCTCATAAGTTGCAAGCACCGCAAAGAGTTACAAACAGGCATAAGATGATATACCCAATGATTAACTTTATCTCAAAGAGAGAAGCTAACTCTTTCCCCAGGAACACAACTACATCAACCTAATCACAAATCAACTCCTGCTGGTCAACACATTGCAGTGTTTGACAGCATCACGGAAGCCGTGAGGTTACGAACAATTCAACCCTATTAAAACCATGCTCGGAGTAAAGACTGCAGAGGGCTCTTCCCAGACCACAGTATTTACAGCTGCATGCCCTCCTCGTTCCTATTTTACATTCTCCATCAGACTCTTCCCTAGAAAAACCAAACATCTTCCTTATTTATCTGTGGTCGCCCCCGCTCCGCGTACATTAAGGGGGGAGCACCGACCCTGGCACAGAGCAGAAGCTTGAAAAAAAAAAAAAATCGGGACTAAATGAAATCGTGTGAGCCTCAAAATGTTTTTTCAGCTCGTCGCAAACTTCTGACTCCTGCGGACTCACCAGCATAGAGGAGGTTCCAACTCACCGCTGATCCCCCGTCCCCGCCCCTCGGATGTCCAAGGCTGTAAATTGCACCGGAGGGGTGCTGCAGGTGGATTCGAACCGCCCGAGAGACACGCAGCCTCCGAGTAAACAGCACATCCAGCTGCGGACTACGCCACCAGAGCGTCATACAAAAATAACAATTTCTTTGCCCCGACAAAGGGACTTTAGACCCTTTGCGGTCAACTCCCAAAACAGTGTTCGCGGGACTGCGCGTTAGCGAAGATGGGGAGAGGAAGCTAGAGATGCGGGCTGCGAAGAGCATTAACCGAGGGCTGGGTTAGGGAATGGTACGGCGAGAAAAGGGTGATCCCTGGGGCGCAGAGACAGCCCGGGGGTCCGGAGGCCCGCTCTTCCGGGTGAAACCGGAATCGACGCGGTTCCGACCCGGCCGCACAGTCCCGTGCCCTGCGAGAAACACTGGGGGGTGGAAGCAGCAGCGCCGGCCCTGGCAGCCGAGCGAGCGCGGCGGGAAGCGCTGTCGGAGAGGCCGCACGGCGCGGGCCCTGCAGGCCGCTCGGGGGACTTACCTGGCCCACTTGTTCCGTGGCATCGGCCAGGATGCCATAATTGCGGTAAAGTTCCTCCACCGTCGGCATGGTGAGCGACAAGGCCAGAATCCGCTCCGGCTGTCGTCGTCGTCGTCACAGGCGCCACCGCCGCTGGAATTTCTCCGAGCCCGCGATCTAGCCTACAGCGCCTCCAGGAGAAACCAGTGCTAAGTCCACTCACCGCGCACAGCACGGCTCAGCCCCCAATGTCGACGAAAGGACGTAGGCGTAGGGAGTGGCCAACATGGACAGCTAATGTGTGTTGCCTATGTCTTATTATCGCCCTCTAATGGCTGGAGGTCCGTATTGACACACTCGAGCCCATTGCTTCATTGTGTCAATGGATCTAGCTGAAGGTCTTCCTCTTCTTTGCCGACCCTCCCTTTCTAATTTTACTTTATTTCATTATTTTTTTGTGTGTACCGTCAAATCAGATCTGACTGGTACAGGAGGAGATTGTTCCTCCTTCTCCAGCAGAGCGTCTGGTGGATTTGAACCGTGCACCTCTGAGATTGCAGTGCAGCTTCTTGCCACTAGACCACCAGAGCTCGCCAACGCTCCCTTTCTAAGCATAATGTTTCTCTCCAAGGAATACCCTCTCTTAGCAAGATACCCAAAGTGTGTGAGGTGAAACTTCATCATCTTTGCCTCCAAGGAGCACTCTGTACAGACTAGTACAGAGTATATCTATAGTCAGCAACATTGTTGTTGTTGTTATGTGCCGTCGAGTCGTTTGCGACTCATAGCGACCCTATGTACAACAGCCCTAAACCCTGCTCTATCCTGTGCCAAT